AAATGTTAGCCTCTGTAAGAATGTTTATTTTGATTATGTTTATTTTATTTTGATTTTATGGTTTAATTACCTAAATTTAGGTTATCGCTGTGTACTGTATTCGCCGACTGAAATAAACGTTTAAAAACCGAAGACCCGCGTGTCAGCAGTTACTCATCTAGACGACCAAATTCTGGTTATAACAGTCCAGAAGATTGAGTAGTAACATTTATCACTTGATAAATACTTGAAAGCCAACCGACTATTATTAACAGGTCATTAGGCAGGCAGGTCTGGAAAATAAATCGGATAAGGCAGGACGGTGAAATCAGCCTCTCCAAACTGTTCCTCGTAATCTAGAAAAAAATTGGTTGACAGCGGTTACGACAAAATTCAGATTTTCTCTTAAAGTGGGGTGGCAGTTTTAGGAAATATTTGAGCCACTGACTTGCTCGTACCCATTTGCGTTTCAGATCGTTTCCTATTTTTATCCATGATCTAGTCTCTGCGGCAGTTTTCATTTTGACTAAGAAATAGATCGTTTTATTAGTAACTGAACAGGAGTACTGTACTTTTCCTCGCATGCCTTCCGTTGCAACTCAATAAATTTGCGCAGTACCGAAATTTTCAGCGTTTTCACAGCTTCGAGATATCACCGAGTTAGACCCCCCACGTAATCGGAACCCAGTAAGTTCCTCCAAACGCCTTTAAGTAGTACAGACTATGAATTTTCAATCATAAATGAATAATCATGAATTTTTGAAAAAAAAAAAAACAAGCAAGTCTCATATCGTAGCTTCTTCGACTTATTTCGTGGTACTTAACAGATTCAGTTTACCTTTACTAAGCAGTCAAATAATTTCTTTGCTTTTGCCAGTTCCAGGCGTCTGTCGAAAGCAGGTTTTCCTGATTTTTATTTGTTTCTCACCTAGGCCAAAGAAGATTTTTTGAGTTACTCTAAAGACGTTCACCAGAATCTTTCTGTTGACGAAGATCTATCTACTCGTTCTACTGGATAAGACATTGACTTAAACTTGTTAGTTGGCTAGTTCTCTCCTGATACCACGCAATACGCCATTTTTCACCACAAATAAGAACCGATATTGAAAACCGATCATTTCTGAGATGCCGAACGGGGTATAAGGTATCTGGTGTTCCGACTCGCAAGGAAGCAGTTGAGAGGGAATAAGCGAAACGCGAATTTAATTTTTTCTAGTTTTATCAAAGTTTTTATCGGACATTACCGAAAGTTATCAGAAAAAATCAAAACGAAAGAAGTTTTAAGATTCGAAACTGCAAAGTCGTCGATTAAAACCTGGAAGAGTAATCTTTCCGCAGTGTTTCTTGTAATCAAAAAGCGACAAGGACAGTTTTTAAAATGAGAGCTAAAAAGAAGGGAATGCTAGATTTTTGGGGCGCAGAATGTGTTATGACAAAAGTAATACTCTCAGGGTAATTGTAACAAATATTAAAAAGCGCAAAAAAAAAAACAACTTGAACTTTCTCAAAGAGATAGCACAATTACTGTTTTAGAAAAACTTATAGGCATCTATTAAATATTACCTCTTCCAAAAAGAAACTTCCCACGAACTAGCAGTTTTTGAAATGATAGACAGTAAGCAAAGGCTAATTCAATTTAACAAGTCCACTTTTCTCTAAACTAGTAAAACTTTAGTTTTAGGGGAAATATGAAATGATTCTACCAGTGTTGAAAATGCTTCACTTGGTATTCTCCCTTGAGAGATTTTCAGTTGAAGTTCATTTTTGCAAATTTTTTTCAAAGGAGCGCTTAAAACGCTACTTAACCAGGCAAGTCAAAAGTACCAGTTGAGTCCTCCTGCAGAACTGGGCTTGAATACGCAAAATACGCATACTTGCTGCAGTGGATGCATAGAACCGCTCTGGTCCAACCAGTAAATAAAAGGTTTCCACATGTTCTCATAACAACTGCTCTAAACATACACTCTGCCATAGATGAACAACAAAAGCGAAACTTTTGTACTATCATTTTAAAGGGACGATCTGGCTAGAAGCTATAATATACTTTCTTGCCAATTAGTGACATTTATTCAATGAAATTGTGCACTCTGATAAGAACTGTGGAGGAATAAGTACTAAGCTATTAAAGTCCTTTTTTTTTCGTTCTTGTGATTGCCGACTTGTGGCGTCTCAAAAGAAAATTGCTGAACAAATAAACAAAATGTTTTAACATTTTTACGAATGACACCTGCCATGTATGATTCCTCTAGATTTTAAATATATTCATCCATTAGAGCTTGCTCCTAAAGCTTTAAATTAGTTATAAAATTAGAATTGATACTGACGAACTGAGTGTGTGAAAAAGCAAAAAAATTGTTCCTGTTATTTAAATGTCTCTTCTTAAAGTTTTTAGAAGCGTTCACTTAGTGAAAAGCTATTGCATACTGATGAAAAGTAACAAAAATCAATAGGTAGTTTTTGAAACAACTTTCTACCAACAGCTAATTGAAAAGTTTTTGTATTAAGTCTCTCTTAAAAAAAAAAAAAAAAAAAACTGCGGTTTCATAAACGGGTATATATAAAAAAAGTAATCGGGAAAGTTAGTAAAGTCACTAATAAGTACTGCGTAGAATAAACCGCAGTTGTCGTTTAAAAGTATTCAAGAAAAGGTGACTTTGACAAAAGACAAAGAAAAGGAAACGACGACAATTTTTTGAGCGCATTGTATTAACTGACCAGAGTTACGGAGAAGTAGATGACGAATTTTGAAAAGAACTGCTGTAAAACTCTTTAGTGTAAATATCAGGCTGAAGGTAACTCTTGTTGACTGTTCATATTTTTGTGGGGTACTATGTGCACTTTGTAATAAACTGTATTGTAGCAGTACTAAAATTGAAAAAAGTTTTGACAGTTCAAAGAACAGATCTTTACCAAAATGTAGTTTTTTGAACGTATCATTTAGTGTTCTACTTCTGCTATTTTTTAATGGTACAATACTGCTGGTAATGGCTCACTTCTTTCTTTTAGTTAATCTTTCGCACTTTAATCCATCTTTCGCCAATACCGTTTATTCCTCAATAATTTTGAAGTGAGTTACGATAGTGAAAAAATAAGTTCTGACTTAAAGGTAGAATTAGTGAGAGCAATATGGAGTATTTGATTTATGCAGAGCATTACTGCATTCATCTAAGATGATGTTTTAACGTCCCAACTTTAATTAGAGGAAGCCAAGTGGCTTGACCTCCGCTACAACTTTGTTAATGTTTTCTATTGCATTAGTTATCAACGGTGCGTTTTTTTTTTTCACAGTTCTCAGAAAAACCTACCCTTTTTTTTCTGTTTCAAATTTTTCAATGAAATATTACCAGTAATTATTGCCGCTTCAATTTCTGCTTTCGACGATCTCAACAACTAACATTTATTGCTGTAACAACGTTAAAATCCTGGCTTACTTCTAGTGACTTTTTTCTCTCCATCACGGTAATCAATTGATGTGTCAGCAGGCGCAAAAGTGTGGGTGGAGAGAAAATAAGATGTCCTGGATAGAAGGTTTTGGTTGACGGTGGTCTGAAGAGGGATTCGTAACGGAAGAAGCCTTTCTAATGGACGACCCACAAATTTGACAGTTCCTCATTTTAACCAACTTTTATTTTTTTGTAGTCATCGACAATGGCGCTTCTGCACTTTATCCGTATCTACACTAAAAGTATATAATCCAAATAGGAATCTCTGAAGCAGCTACAGATTACCGTCATCAGCAGACATTTAAATCAATTTATACCAACCAACACTTAATGCTTTGTTCCTTAATCCTACCTTCATTAAATTTCTAACAACAACTAAGGAAGTTAAAAATTAATGAATGACTGAGCGACGCCTAAGAAAATCGATGGTGAACGAATGGCCTTGAAAATCCTAGTACATGAGAGATCAAAACTAAATTGAATCATTAACGGTTTTGTAAGGTGGAGCGCCTCCCACACTTGCTCAAACTGCAAGTGATAAACATCTATATATGATGTACATCTAATACATCAGCGTGGTCTTGACCACCATAACCACTAAACAGAAAAAAATCATTTAACTCTTGATTCCCTCCTTCATTTATGCCCGCCCGTTCCGCATATAATATGTAATATATCTGCCAAAAAGTTAAAATGTACTTGAGAATAACGGGTTCAGCAACAATATTTCGCCGTACCGTTTTCATGTGTAAAAAAAAAAGTATGATGATCGAACTGTTATTTGTATAATGCCTCAATCAATCACATAATTACTATAAAGTCGTTTTTAAAAGAATATGCTCTATGTACTTCATATTTTTATTTTTTATTATTTTCTTCCCATAACGCATGGTAAAGCACTATTAGCAAGTATTGTTGACGTAACGCCAAGTGTCGCAATAAGTAAAAGAAAAATATAGTGTTTTCTGTACCCTCTTTTTTTTTCGGAGCAGAAGGGAACTGTTACAGTGAACAACACCACATTGTTCGAATGCCAAAAAACGTTAAGAAAAAGTTATTTGATTTTGAAACTGATAAAAAAGTTCTGCATACATGACCAAAAAAAAAAAAAATTTTTTTCCCCTTTTTTTTCCTAAGGTGCCAGATGATAGAGAAAAAAATAAAATAATGTAGTGACAATTTTAACAATTAATTTCTCGTACGGTGGTCTGCAAGGTACTGTCAATAAACTAGAACGTACGATGGACAACAGTGAGACGTAGAGCAGAAGTTTTTTAACAACTGCTTTTGTTCAACTTCCTTTAGCTGCAGGCCAAAAAAATACAAACACGGGACCAAACACCATTAATGACAATTATTATCGTTTATTATAACATTTCCAAGTTCAAAATACCAACCAAGCGCAATTCTAAATCAGTTCTTCCATTAAAACATCAACCATTACAAATGTTTAACAAAACAAGGAGTTACTCAGAAAAAAAAAAGAGCTAGAATGATAATATTACCCGTAATCGCGCGGCAGTTTCTGAGCATTTTTCCTCCCCCTTCCAACACCAATTTCAATTGTTCTCACGATCTTCTACTCCAAAACTTTTCACGAAAACACAAAATCTTTTTTGTTTTCTTCGCTGTGTTAAAAAAGTATTTTCAAACACCCTAAACAGTGGTGATGATACCAACACCAATGCAATGACAGAGGAGGAGAACGAAAGAAACCAAATAAACTCGATTTTCCCTCCACGCAAAACCAGTGCAATTTTGTTCCAATACTACAATTTTAAAAAAAAGAACAGAGGAAGAAACGACTTTGCAATCATCTTTTCACATAAATTTAGGTTGAAATGAAACCTGCCAATGCGGTTCTACAGCATAATTTTCAATAAGGAATGTAAAGAAGAAAAAATCACCGTTAACATATATAACTAAGCATACGAGTGAGCTGAATCAATGTCATGGCTTCTAAATGGCACATATTTCATGAGGTAGATGATGCATTGACATTAATAAAACAAAATGATAAAATTACTAGTTAATTTTATTACAGTCCTCAAAAAACTTTGGTTTATCTTTCCAAATGTTTCTTGACTGAGATTACAAAGTGGGTCATCAGAATTTTTTATGTCGAAACAAACCATCATAAGTGTTTTGAAAAACAACGAACAAGAAATTAATAGGCAGCAGACAACTCAGGAAACATATTTCTGTACATGAATACAGCACCAGCTAGACAATTTTAGACTGTTTCCAAGCTGACTGTGTCACGGCTAACTGATTCGACGGTGCCGACGACGATGCCATCGGAAGGTAATGGTGGGGAGGGGGTGGCGGTTGAGCCGATGGTATCAACGGGCGATTCAGAGCTGAAGATGCCCCGCCGACAGAAAGTGTACTTTTCGCTGGCGCTGATGAGCATAAACCACAGCACAGTACCCGTTGCCATGAGTGAAAGGTTTTCTTTGAAACTGTCCACATGCTCGTTGATATACCCACCAACAGAGACATTATTACATTTAACTTATACAACTCAGACTGAAAATATAATTGATTCGATAGAGATATTAAATCGTGTGTAACCAAAAGACATAAAAAGAAGAAAAAAAAATTAGTTTTTAGAAGTTCTATAAATAGAAAGATGAGTTGGAGTTTAAGCTAATGAGTGCAATTTCAGCCAAATTAAAACTGAAGATCTGTGTTGAACACTGCTGTGAAACAATTTTTACCTGTGGTAAGGGAAGTTTTTCAGGATTTTTGCACAGGCTGTTTCCTGGCGTGCTGTATATTTTGCACGCAATTGAAGACGTGTGCCATTTCAGCAGAATAAACATATGGTAACAATCACAGACAACCATAATAACTGCAGGAATTATGTAAAATGCGCTGAATATTCCCATTTTAACCATTAATTTTTCCAATTTCGATGTATCTGTGCCCTAAAATACTGATATATAACAGTCTCACAATATATACGCGATTATATGTCAAAACAGAACAAGGGCAGGAAAGGGGAAAAGTAAAACTTTCAGAAAATTCAAATTTTATTTATTTATTTATTTATTTATTTAATGTTTTAAAAGTATTCTCGTAAAAAAATTTACTAAAAGAAGCTTAAAGAGAAAAATAAAAAGAAGAGGAGAAACAATTAACATAATTACTGAAATAAATCAACAAACTAAAAGCACCATTTTGAAAAAAATATAAACAGCACACATTCAGCCCAGCAACCATATTATATATGTAACAATAAATTACCCCCCAATATTTCTGCTGAACATAACTCTTTCTTTAAGACGTTTCACTACGATTCATTTTTCCAGCTATACAATTAAAAGTTTTTGCTTTTCAACTCAGTGTCGGTAAAATAAAGCTGTCACTTAAGTCTCAGCAACTTCTATTAGCTATACTATAAATGATATTAGAAAAAATGATACCCTTCTTCTGAAGGAATCTCTTTCTCGGCACATACTCGAAAACCCAGCAATTATAAAACAGCTTCCAAGAAGGACAAACAGCAGCTTCGGTATGATGACAAATCCAAGTAAAGCCCACGGGTTAGCATTACCAACAGAGCAAATCCCGGTTAATTCAGACGCATCGACCTTCAGATGCAGAAGAGTGGTTATTTTAAAACGACTTCAAATCAAGTGTAAGAATAAATTTTATTTCCAATACCGCCCGCTATTCAAAAGTACATGTAGAACTCAAAAAGCACATTCACTGATTATCCAACTTTAAAAGTTTTTTGCTAAAATATGACACCTCAAAATAGAAAGAGATCCTTAGATGATTCAGTTATATAATAAAATTATTTTAAAGCTTAGAATGCACTTGAAAGTAAAAAATAGAATTTAAAGATACTTTATGTGTGACAAAAACTGCAATTGTCAGTAGGGCTGGAAGTGCCCATGCTATAAGATGAAGGTAACTGCTGCATGCGTCAATACCTTCCTGCACCCACTTTCGTGCAGCCGACAGATACCTGTAAAAACTGCTGATAGTGAAAATCAAGCTATTTCAATAGTCATCTCTTCCCACAACAGTGCATATATTTGAGTCAAAAAAACAAAAAAAAAGAATGATAATAAACCACTTTTTTTGAGCGTAGAATAAGAAAAAAGAACAAAACTCTGAACAGTTGCAGATTTCTTGCATTCTGCAAAAAACTGTATTATCTTTCAAAAATTGCCAACACTCAGCAAAAAAATTTTTTTTTCTGAAGTGAAAAAAGAAAGTTGTTTTCTTTTCTCAGCACAATGTATTCGACAAATGCATCTGGTAGTACGCTGGAAAAATGTCACCTCAGAAAGGAAAAATTACATCAGTCGATTCTAACCAAAATGCCTATTACAATTGAATATTCTCCATTCCCAGCTCTTTAATCACTTTATCTCAAAATGTGTTCTGGAAAATTTAAAAAAGCAATTTATCTGATGTAATTGCCTTATCCTCTTTCGGCCATAAGATCCAAACCATATTATATATATATATA